GACGCTAAATTGACCAATCAGAGCGCGCGCTTTGCTTTGGTTATGTTATAAATTTCGTTATATATACTACAATACTTCACGTTCTTGCACAGTAGAAAGTAAGTGAACTACCACGCATGCTCGGATTAGTCAATAGAGCGTTTTTCGATTGAATGTAGTAAAACAAAGACCAAAGTAATCATGACAGCCAATAATGTCGCGAGGAACCATTGAGAACAAAGCAAACTGCCTGAAGTACGGGAAAACGCGTAGAGAAAGTGTCGCGATTTTTCTGGATCAATCACATAACAAAGTTCACTAAGGCAGTCCCGGGTTACTTTCAACACTCGAAAATTGCTCTACATATCGTTAATTCAAATGCACTTACCAAAGCAAGAAATGCAACCCACCTGGCATGCTATGATATCACTAAAAAAATTTGTAATTCACTTCCCCTTTGGCCGCGATTGAAAACTATTTCTCATGTTTTCTCACCATTCTGCATGGGTTAGATTATTATAGCTGACAGGGTAATCGGAAACGGAGCTAATTATCAAACACCAACCTGAATTACTTTCAGCTTCGAATCGACATCGAGTTTCTCTACCGGCGTCCCTCGCAGTCTTTGACACTTTTCTGCGATGTTGTCGATTGCAAGTCTAATGCAGCCGAGCATTTCACTCTGCAAAACAAAACAAAACAAAACAAAACAAAAAAAAATATGAAAAAAAATAAACTGAGAATATAAGTCACCACATTTCATGGTCAAGAAACGTAGTTACGCGTTTTATCTTTAGTTAATGTTCAAGTCGCTTTTTGGAATTTGAAACATTACCTAAAACGTAACGAAACAATCACCCCGTGGAAAAGTTATGTATTTTTATTTTTAGAGGGCGAAGAAGTGGGGTGGGGGCTGGCAAAAGCGATTCAAGCTTTGTGCTTGCCTTGCGCTTGTATTCACCTGCCCTCAAAACGGAAAAATAGAGAATAAATGGGAATGTTAAGGATAGAGAAGATGAACAAGGATGGAAGGTAGAGTACTGTTGCTGAGGTTTTCTCTTTCAAAACTATTTTGCTTGACTGGCAACCAACAGAGGTCTCAAAGTAACGATGCAAGTGATAGGAATGAATTGCAGCAAAGCAAAGATTTTGTTGCTAATGCTTCCTACCTGTTGTCTAAAGACGCCTTTACTACTGATTAAGAACTGATCGATTTTCTCCTTTCTTTGCAAAGTTTCCTCTAGTTTTTCTTGAAGAGATGCTAGTTCACTGTTCATAAGCTGAGAAAGAAAAAAGAACAAATATTATTAAAGAAGAGCTCTAAGAAAAATTGCTGGGTGCCTGAAGTCTACTCAATTTTCTCTGACGTTGCTTTATAAAATTAAAATTTTTCATGACTAATCAGAATTTACTGACTTCTGCCCAACCTCAAAGAATTGTTTCCCTTACTTTTCCCTGACTTGTGACAGTCACGAACGGGTTTAACATCTCACTGTCAAATGACATGTAAAATCACTTGGAATGGATACTCACCAATAAGTTTTGAGTGTGTTCTTGATTCATGTCTTGTAGCTTCTGCTGTTCAGCTTCAACCTAACAACATTCCAATAGCTAAATAAATAAAAAATACTTAACTCTTACAAAAACAACACTTCGAGCTAAGTCAGAGCTAACCCCCTAGCACTCCTGACTCACTTTACCATTCTTTACACCCCAAATAATTCCCTTTACTGACTGCCTTCGTTTTACTGGGTAAACAGACCAAATAATTTGGTCTTATATCAAGATAAGACCCTCTCACTGAGAAGCTGCTCTGTTCTTATTAACCTATTAGCAAGATAACATATTGAAATTTCAAAGATAATTTACATGTTAACCAATTGTAGGAATTTAAAGGTTAATTGTCTTTCTTGATTAGAGGCTCAAGAGCTTAGGAAACTAAGTTTTGGTAGCCTGAAGTAGCCAGGGTAACGCTCTGGAATTAAGTCTCATTGTCCATTGCAGAGAGCCCGATTTTTGTTAAAAAATGTTCCCTGACAATTCTGTGGTAAGCTAACCAAGAGTTCGCCAACAGGTTTTATAACATAACCAAAGTAAAGCACGCGCTCTGATTGGTCAATTTAGCGTCCCCCATTTGCCCATGGGTGTACGCTGCTGACGTGAGCAAATGCAAAGACTATTTTCCCGCGCGCGCTTGTTTTTTCTGGTC